CAAACAAGAACGAGGAAAATGAATGCACCCTCAATCCCAATCAACGACCATCCCTCCAGGGCCCGTTGCGATCCCAATACCTCTATCTGCCTCCCTCCTGAGCCACTTCAGCGCCACCTTGTCTTCCCTCAGGAGCGGACTCAGAACATCCCAACACCGTTGGTTGTGTTCCTTGAGCCATGACTTTTCTTCCTTCGTGAGCATGGATTCTTTCACCATGCGTGTCTGGATCGGCACGCATGTAAGACGCTCGAAACCAAGCCAGATGTCGCCATTGAATTCATGTTTGGTCTTGATCCGTTTGACGACGAGTGCAGACTCAATGCGCATGCCCCATTTATCTTTGATGTCTATAGTATCGGCGAGTTAGTATCAGAAATACACAGCTGACGGAGAGGGGACGAACAGAAGCCAGGTTCATTGGTCGTAACGTGTCCTGGCATGAGCGGAACATTACTATTAAATCCATGTTCGCCTTCATGCACAGTCAAGAACGAGCCGAATCCATGTCCGGTGCCATGCTATAATCGTGCTCATCAGCACATGACGAAACCATGACAACGTATACAGGGACTCACCATATAATTCAGACCATCCTTCCACAACGCCTTTCGCGCCAGCACGTCCAACTGAATCCCAGACGTGCCTTCAGGGAAGACCGCACTATCAATCGCAATCTACAATAGCCATACAAGCGGAAATTAGCATCGGCAATGAAATGAACGGAAAAGGAGTGTACGAGTTGCGTACAGCGGAGATGAAAGCGAAAATTATATACGCACATGTCCCTGCAAAACCCTCGTATATGCCTCACTCATATCCGGCGATGGCCGCCCAAAATGAACAGTCCTCGTCGTATCGCACGTCCCGTCTCTATACTGTCCTCCCGAATCACTACCACCAATCGTTAATATACATTCAATCTTATACAGATCGTTCGGGGACTCACTTGAGGTAAGGTGTCTCCCGATCAATCATCCTCGCAGAATGTTTCCTGGGTGTATAATGTGGTATTGCTGCGTTCGGCCCACTCGCAGAAATCGTCTCATATGCGAGCCCCATGAACTTCTTCTGCTTCATTCTAACCTCCTTGATCCGCCATGCGGCTTCCCATTCGGTGATGTCATATCCCGAGTTTAATTTGTTTTCGAGCCACGCAAGGAATTGTACCTGCAACTTGAGGTGAGCTTCGGTTCAACGGACGGAGGGAGTGGGATGTACTCACGAATGCCGCTCCATCCCGGATATACGCCTGTCTCATCCCCTCAATTTCAACCTCGTTCTTTATCGCCATCATATACTCCACTCTATTCGGTGCGAGTGTATACCTAAAATGCGTGAGCATCAACGAAATCGCGTACGACGTCGAGGGCGGGAGTAACAGCTACCACCACCGATAATAACAACAATCAGAATTCCATACTTCCAACAATAACAAAGGTACACACCTTCCCCTCGCCCCACTCCCGTTTCCTTAAAAACGGCCATAAATCCGTATAATTCCTCCTCTCGACATCCATTCTTTCCAGATACCGCGTCACGGATTCGTCTACTTTTGATGCGTCAAGGAAGAGGACGGTCTTATCGAGGCCGATATAGAGGTATGCGTGGAAGAGCGGGTTAAAGGGTATGTCCACGCCTCGGAGGTTGAGGGTCCAAGCTAAGCTCTGCGGTCAGTGATGACAGTGAGTAAAAGAGGAGGGAGACACACCAATACAAGAGAGAGATGTGACGAGCAGCCCAACATGTATTTGTTGCGGTGTCGGTTCGGTGGCTTTGGAATATGAGGGGATTGCGGGTGGTTGGGATTTGATCCATTCTCGGAGTTTGTATATTTTGTACGTTGCATCTTTACCTATTCAACGATCAACAAATTAGTGAAATGCACAGGGGACGAGAGAAATGCGGATGTTCGCGCACCTGTGTACTCAATGGACTGGACGTAAACAACCCCCTTTGGTTTCTGCGGTTTATCCTTCCACACAAGATCAACCAAGTTCTGTGATGGGAAAACGAATTTACAGTCGAGTGCGGTGAGTTTCGAGTTGATCAGCGAGGCCTTTTCGTGGGATATCATCCGGGCATCAATGCCTATCCGTTGACTTCGCCCCAACAACGACTATACACATCAAAACAAATCAGAAACAATTTGGACATGACAAACGGAAGTCCGTGGAGCGGAATTACGTACCAAAAAAAACTCAACCCAGTCCTTGAATCCCTTCCGGTCAACCATTTCACCTGCGCGGATGATTTGCCAGTTTCTGTCGGTCTGGGTTTCTGCTTGGAAGAAGTACCGGGCGTCGGTGACGAGGTATGCATGCTCATTGGTGATGATCGCTACGCCAACTGAACCCGTGAACCTGGGAGACACGTAAGTCGTGCGGCGCTACGGAAATAGAAGTAATGATGATCGCACATACCCAGTGATGAACTCCCGGCGTTTGTCACTTCCAGCGACGTACTCGGACCCGTGGGCGTCCTCAGATGGGACGATGCTAGATGTTGAGATGAGGACTTTGTACTTTGGTTGTAAAGTTAGAGACGTACTAGAAATCAAGGTTGGCCTTCTCCATTTCGGTACGGAGGTCACCTAGCCTGTCGCTGGTGTTTACACTTTTGTCGGGAATGGATTCGAGGTCCCCCTGGAGCTTGCGCTCAAGCGCGGATCCAACCAGCGTGCTGGTTGAATCAGAAGGCATAAGAGGCGGACGGAGCTTGGGTGCAGACGATCTACTGCTAGACGTATGGCGTGTTTCCTTAGAGTCTTTGCTTCCTCTCGACACCTGCGACCTCATCGTATCGCCCCTCTGCAAGGTCCTAGATTCCTGGGCCTGCATAGTGCGTGCAGTACTCCTGCTCGCGTACGACGACTTTGAGTTCTGCCGCGAGGGTGGTACAGGGGCCATTTCCTGGGACTGGTACAGAGGCAACGGCGGCGCACTGGCATTGGACGACGAGCGTTCGCGCATTATTTCTTCAATTTCCTTCTCCTTTCTCCCCAGCCCCCAGCCGTACCCCCACTTGGATGATGCTGTTGACTTTTTCGTACCGGTCATTGTGTTCCCGCGACTAAGCTTTGGTGAGCCTTTCATTGCTCCCTCTCCACCGCTAAGCACAGGTGGTACCTCGTCGTATCTCTCCGAGTCTGTGCGGAAGGTGAGAGCGTCGGCCTCAGTTGTCAAGGTAGAAGTTGGTGAATAAGAGGGCTGGCGAGTGAGATGTGCCTGTGGGTGAGAGGCTTCTGAGGCACCGATGGAGAGTCTGCGTTTCTGCTTTGACGAGATAAAAGGGAAGCATATTGGGGGTGGTGGAGGAGGCATGGATGGTAGTTGTCGGAGGACCCACGAGGCTCAGGTTGACTAGTCTCCCCCAGATTTTCGCTGACGTAATCACCCCCTTATATGCAGTCGCCGTTGGACAGCTTCTAAGGACCCCGGGTTCCAGCGGAATTCTCGGTCCATCGCCCGATACCCAGCCCTAATCGAGGGTCCTTCCCGATGCTCCCAGATAGCCTAAGAACTCTCACCGCAGACGCCAGATGACCACCACAGCCCAGCCCAACGGAAACGGGCAGGCCTTCACAGTACTTTCTTGCCATATCCATCCCTTCATGAGCAACACAGCAATGACGTGGCCGTGCGATATTCATTCGCCGCTACTCTGGCTCACCGGCATCGTGTTCATGTTCGCCACCATACATGTGCGGGTTACATGCGTTCCTAAGCTTAAGCCGCAGCCTGGCCTCCAGCCCAAGCGAGGAATCCAGGATGAATGTGGGTAGGGATCAAGCTGGGGTCAGAGCCGCTGGAGCACCTGATTGCGATAACCAGCTGTGGTGGAGCTATTGTCGGAGCATACCCAGCCGAATATAGACGGTAAGTGGTGCAGCGTGCCTACGCTTCCTCATCGCCAAGTCAGGTCACGACTGTGCATAGAATGCCCGCAACGACCAGGGATATCGACTCTTCGGAGGATTTGGTAATTGCTAAGCCTCGAGGAAAAGGCACCATAAGCTTAACCTGTGATCCATCTATGCATATTTTTAGCCCGCCAGTCAGTTGATCAAGAGCCCCGTCCTCAAGCTGTAGCCTAACTCACACAAGCAACTTCGCCTTCCCCACACGAACGCCTGAACCCAGGTTCTTCAAACTCAGGGTCTGACCTTCGCCAACACGCCGTCCAACACCGTGCCTGTCAAGCAAGAAACAAGCACTACACTTCCCGAACACAATGTAATGCGAACAACAGCGTGGATCTTAGGTCACTATTCAATGAAAAATCACAAGCCTAGGTAGGGACTGTCGGACAGAACACAGAACTTGCCTCGTGTTCCAAAGCGCGGTGCCAAAGTGGACTTTTGGAAGTACCCTGTCGGAAGACCTGAACGTCTTCGCTCAGAACTAGCCTCCACTAAGCATCCTCCTTTGTTCTATTACAATGCGAGGCCCTGTTTATCGTTCTAGTCGGTTTATACTGGTTCATCACAACCCAAGCACAAGCTTCTCTTGATATCTTTTTCCAGTTCTCTCAAGCTATTCAGCGCTCTACATCAGCCCAAGTCCATAATTAAACTAGCCCTTTCCAAGTACACACTCACATCCCAATCCATTCGTCCGATTCGGAAACACCGGAGACGTGTCTTTAATCCGGAGGGATGATTCTATGCTCATTAAACGAACAAACGTAGATCATCATCATCACCATCATCACAATCAATTAATAAAAGACCCGGACCAGCGCCCACACGAACACGCAGTAATTCATTAATCCCACATGCACTCCACCCTGCGAAGGGTAAACAATCAAATTAATCATAATTATGATACAACTCCTAGTCCCTTTAGCGCCGCCTTGGTGCCCGACTCACCAAAATAGCAGACCCCAAGCAAAAATATCAAAGCCAAATAAAACAATGAAATTCGTTAGAGACAATGACTTCAGATGCCCCACCGTTGTACTTTCCCCATTACAGACACGAAAAATAGCAGCGTTTTAATAGCCCACCGCGAGGGTCGAACTCGCAGCCTTCAGATCGCAATATTCAGGGGCCCCCCCTTGTATAAGAGTCTGACGCTCTATCCGATTGAGCTAGGCGGGCCCACTAAACGATGACGCCGGGCGTTCCTCGGCAGCCAAGCGACCCAGCGCCACCCACGCCATACCCACAAACACCAACTTACCTATCTCCTTAGTTAGACCACCGCGGTCCTTTCAATCCTCGTTCTCATTCTGGAACTTGTACCATTCTTTGCCCCTGTTACTGAATTACTCCTCATACAAAAGGCTTGTATCGATTCCCATGGCCCACCGCGAGAGCTGAACTAGCTGCCTCCAGATGTCTCAGATCATATTACAGCTCTGATAAGAGTCCGGCGCCCCACCCAATTGAACCAGGCAGGTTGTATGACAGGGTGCCGTTCGGTGAATAAGCGCCCTAAAGTCTAAATTCGAAGATGGCGTCTACCAGTGCACCCAGAGGCTAATGCATCCACACAGATCGAAAATTAAGCGCTTACCATCATTCCAGGTACAATGAATGGCAACCCCCTCCCCCCCACAAATTACCCTTTTTTACTTACAAGCACCCACCGTGGAGGGAAGATACAAAAATTGTTTTCAACCACACCATTGAAGAATGACCCGCTGCGAGATTTGAACTCGTACCCTTCAGATTTGTATGAAAAATATTGAATGGCATTGACGCTCTGTCCTATTAAGCTAGTGGAAGGGGCACATTGTATAGGCGCTCCGGGGTAGTTATATGTTCGAACTTGCCACCCTGCTTAAACGCTAGTTGCGGCGCGCCAGAGATGCGCGGTATTAACACTGCAAGATACCTCTCGCTCGCATTCGACCATTATTCAATGTTCCACTCGGACTCACTCCCAGTTCCGCCCTTCACCAAGGAAGAAGATAAAAAGATGATCCTATATAAGAAAACCCTCGCCAGGGCGCGAAGAAACTAAAAATCGTCCAATTTCATGCCAACCCACATGAGAAACAAAATCAGTGTCCAGACGCCTCAAACCAATCAAGGGGAAGGATGCAACTCTGACGCTCTGCGATTGAGCTAGGGGGGTCCATCGCTTCAACATGGGTGGCGGAACATTCTTTCTCGCAACCTTCTCAGTCCTCGGCGCCCACACAACAAATCGAATGTCGCAAAAGTTTATTCCCCCAACAGCACAAACACGACAAGATAGTGAGATGAGTCAAGGTTAAAGTCTGGACAGACGGACAGACACCCACAATCTATCTCACATGCCGTCATACCAATCCACACACCAATCCACTATGAATCAACAAACAATCATAAGTTGTCAAATAGCGTTGCCGTGACGACCAGGCCAATCAGTGCCAATCCATTCATAACCCTGCGCTGATTGGTGCGTTGATCCATGTTTACACCCGCACCCACATCCCACGCACCTGCTAAATATAGCAATTTCCATCGATTGGTCGGTGGAGCCCGACGCTGGATTGGTCTTCGCTCGGTTTTTGGGAGCGGGGGTATAAAACCGGGCCTCCCGCCGTTTCCTTGATTCCCTAAGCCCCGCCTTCACATTCCCACTTTTGCTTTGCATCCAGTTCCAGCTCCGAAGTCGCTTCTTGAGGAAGATATTCATCATGAACACCACCACTCCTACCGTTCAGACTCCCCTCCCCCTCTACACTCGCGACTCCTTCGCTTCCTCCTCTTCCTCTGTCGAAAGCAATAAACCCGAAACGGACTTGCATACCTTCGGATATACATTCACGGCTTCTCCTAATACCGACAGCAGGCATGACCGCCGTCTGAGCGTCACTTCCGAGGCTCAAACTCTTCCGCCTGCATACTCTGAGAGCCACAAGGACGTCGTACCGGAATACTCGGCGACATACGAGCCTGCTACGCTCGCTATGTACCTCTTCCGCTTTGGCTTCTGTACGTCTCCTGTCCTTTTTTCCCTCACCAATAGAGACTTACGATCCTCCTACAATAGTGTTTCCACCATTTTGGATAATGGGTGCCCTCATCCTCTTTACACCTCTCCGCGCACCTACTTCCACCATCCAAGATGAGGAGACTGGCATGGGCTGGCTTCCAGAGAAAACAGAAGCCGAAAAACAAGCTTTCATCTCGCATATCCGCAAAGCCGAGTTGAAGTGGGCTAAGCGATGCCTTGTCGCACTCGTTATTTTCGCTGTGGTTGTTGGGATTGTAGCGGGCGCCGCTGTTTGGGCTACTGCAAAGTAGATCTCTCCCTCTCCCCGACGAGCGGGTTTGGGATTGAGAACTTGGAACGTTGGATGGATTGCGAAGACGAGGGATTGGAGTTGGCGCGTTGCTTGGACTGGGTTGCTGAGCTAGATGTGCGCGCGAGAGGACTTCCCCCTTGCTCTTGGAGCTTCCACCATTTTTTGCCTCCTCGATCGATTTCGAGTTGAGGGCGCGTCGTGACCTAGTGTTGCGCATGTCATAAAATGCACACGCGTTGCGTTGTGAATTCAAACACTCCTTGTTACCTTTATATATATGCATCTCTTGGACGCTTTCGCAACCGCTATTTTATTTGTATTTTATGAACGGGACGGTGTCCCTTGTATTGGTAGATGTATAAGTAGATGAATTAATACAACATTATAGATCCCTCTTTATGTGGACTTGGTGGTAGTCAAGGATTGAGTATAAATAATCATGAGAAGCATCTTAATGACCGTGACGCTGGAGGCAGAAAGAAGTTTTGTAACTGCCGAATCGCTCTGCGTGAATCGATATTTTTATTCCTTGCCCGAATCTGTCCTCTGTTTGAGTATTCCCTTTACTCTGGGGCTGATATTATGATGTGGGTGGTCCGCACCAACTCTAATTTACGGGAACCCGGCCCTATTGGCATCCGGAGGCGAGAAGCAGTATCCTTCTTAGCTCAGTTGGTAGAGCGCGTCACTAGTATTGCTTAGCGACTACGACGAGGCCAGTCGTTCAAGTCGGCTAGAAGGAAATAGTCGACGTCAGTTGTTTTGAATCGTTTCGCACTCGGTCCTTTGATAGCTGAGAATTTTTTCTGTTGATAATCCCGTCTGCGTTTTTTGTGCTCATCTCAACGGAGAACCTCTTGGTCCGTTTATCGTGTCTCGCACCCTTGTGCGGATTATTGATTATACCCTGACACATTTTGCTCTCTTTGGTGTTGTGAATGAAAGACAAAAAGTACTGCCTTATGTTCTGTTCGTAAACTCGTGTTTCCGCCATCTGTTTCACTTTTGCTGAGCCCTCACGTTGGATGGTCATGAGTGAGCCCGCAGTTTACGGGGCTATCCAATCATTGATATGAAATTCATATTGTCATCCCCCCGATTTCACGATCAAAGGAACCACGATTGTGGGTATTGTTCTGCGAGCCGCGTATCCCAATAACGAACGGACCCTATCTCTCGCCACCGTACGAGTTTGGGGGGGCCGAGTGAGATTTTCGACATAGCTCCTTCTGGGTTGCGGAGTCAATACGTGGTGTACCTGTCTGATTCGATGGTCGCAGCCCCAGATCCTCACGACTTTCAGGGAACATCATTAAGTATCTTAAAGGGTCCCCCTTCCTAGTTCATGCACACATCGTACCCGAGAGTATTTGAGAACTCCTAGTCTCCTGTGCCCATCCTACCCGACAAGCGGCGAAAGATATTCAGGCAGAGGCCCACTGGTGTGCATTTTCGCTGACAGTTCAGGTAGAAATAGAAGGAGCGGACATAATTCGGTGGGAGCCTCACTATACAACGAGTACGCATAATACAGGACTTTTATTGCGGTTGCGACGAGTCTCGGTGAACCCTGCCACAAAGTCGTGCTTTGAAGGTTCGTCGAACTCCAAGGTGTTGCGCTATTGTTCTCGATGGAGCTTAACCATCGAAATGACGCCTGAATTTTGCTCACATGTGAAGATCAGCTGATGACTTTTTTATACGCATCCTTTCAGTATTCTCTTAGTGGTGAGTTTAAAGGGGATTCTGAAACGAATCTTGCATTGATTGTGTCCTTCTTTCTACCCCATACAAGGTGGATTAGCCCCTTTGTCGGGGTTTAAATATGCTCGCGTGAGAGTCGCGTGGCCCATATTGTGATGCATCATTGATTGTCCTTGCTCCTTTCAACGCTTTCACCTCCCGCAGTAATCAACCTACGTCCATAACCTGTCCTTTGAAACGTCTTTCTACTCTCAGTGCATTTATGTGTCGTGTGAATACGCTGCTCAAGAAGACGCAGATAATCAACAGGCGAAAGCTCGGATCAAAGCCTCACCTATTGAACTTCTCGAAGCGCGTCGCACCGTGGACGGCAACACCAGTTCGCATGCTTGCTGTTTCTCGAGAGGCTTTGGCTAAATCGAATGCTGAATGTACGCGCTTGGCTGATGCCAAACGGGCAGAATCGGATATCGGCTTTCATTTCGGAGACGGGTCTTTCATAGCTCTGCCGACGGTGCTTCTGCACCAGTTGGCGCCATCCCTCCGATGCAGGACCATCAGCTGCATATTTTTACCTTCCTATCTATACCATCTATGCCGTGTAGCTTATCCCGCAGGTCGACATATGGGAATGTTGAAATTTGGTGACTATGTACCCACACGAAATCTGGTTTCATCTATGTATCTACTACACTCACGGCTTCCACCACAAGGCTTTACGATTCGTATCAAGGCCATCTTCCACCCACAATCGGAAGGAAAACCCCTAACTAGGAAGGTCAACACTTGCCGAACTCGGTGCGAGTGCTTCTGTCTTCTGTGCCCAATGTATAGATAACCTCTGAAAGTGTTGTCATCGACAAATTGAGAGACCGCATAGTGGGTTTTCTCCGGTGAATTCTCGAGACTAGGGGTCCAAATTGGCCGTGTTTCAGTGGACAGAGATGGAATGTTGCTCCATTGGCTTGGTTGTAGTTAGTCCAGCATTTAAACTTGGGCCAGGTCCAAACCAAGCGGTATAGTTCCCTCGACTTTCTTTCTCCCTCGTTAACTTTTTGCTTTAATCAAGTTGCAGATATGGGCGGTGGACCTGCAGTTGTCAGCGACGGAGGTGGTTATGCGCACTTGATTGACAATTCAAGGCCCTGGTGGAGGAACTCGCGTAGGTGCCAACGTGCTATAGCAGCTAACGTGCGATTGACTGGCGCCTAGGTCTCATCTTTCTTAACCTTTGGATTGTGCTTTTGCTTATCACGTCTTCTACGAACGGATATGATGGAAGCATGATGAGTATGTTACGCTAGGAACCCGCAAGACTTCTCATTGACGATCCTGTAGATGGTTTACAGTCTCTTGACCAGTGGAACGCGGCCTTTGGTACTCCAACTGGTGGCAAGGTAGAGGCCTCACCTATTCCTTCAGGGGCTAGTCTGACAGTAGCTAACAGCTTGGTCTTCTCAATGCCATCCAAGTACGTTGCATCCCTTCCCAGAGCCGGTGTACATCATCTCACCCGATTAAAATTATATAGAACATTGGAAGTTTGGCAGCCTACCCATTTGCGCCCTACGTCTCTGATGGGCTTGGTCGTCGCCCTGCCATCTTCATTGGAGCGGCCATCATGATTGGAGCTACCATTCTTCAAACGGCATCACAATCTGTCGGGATGTTCATCGGCGCCCGGTGAGTACCGCTTCCTAGCCTTTGTATACTCGCCGGGTCTGAATAAATATACTTCATATAGTTTTGTGATTGGATTCGGTCTCACATTTGCAGCTGCCGCTGCACCCCTCTTGGTCACCGAAATCGCATATCCAAGTCAACGCGCACAGGCAACATCGATGTATAACACCCTCTGGTACTTGGGTAGTATCATGTAAGTGTTCATTACGCGACCGGTTGCCAATCGTCAACTTCTCACTCCTCTCTCACGTCTGGTCATTGGTGATGCCTATTTTTAATGTTCATAAATTCACAGAGCCGCATGGACCGTGAGTACTTCAGCATAGAAATACGCATATATATCCATGACGTACTCATGACGACCGTTCCTTGTTGCAGACCTTCGGGACGTTCCATATTCCTACGAGTTGGTCGTGGAGGATTCCGTCTGCTTTGCAGGGTTTGCCGTCTGTTATCCAGGTTGGGCTGATTTGGTTTGTACCCGAGTCTCCTAGGTGGCTTGTTAGCAAAGGACGGTAAATAACGCGTCTGCTGTATTCAAAAACATGCGGTACTGATTTTGGATATGCTAGGGAAGAGCAGGCACTCAAGACGTTAGCATACTACCATGCTAGGGGCAACGCGTGGGTGATCTCGGCCAACTACCAAGTGAACGAGTGCTGAAAGAGTACCATTCGACCAGCCAAGACCCACTTGTCGAATTCGAGTTCGAGGAAATCAAGGCTGCAATCGCTTTTGATCGCGATGTCGCGTCTAATGTCGGGTGGTTGAGCTTGATCAAGAGTCCCGGAAATAGAAGACGCATGAGGATCATCATTGCGTTGGCATTCTTCTCTCAGTGGTCCGGCAATGGTCTGGTGTGAGTGTAATTGTCTCCTTTTGCAAATTCACATGCTAAGATGTCGGGGGTAGGTCCTACTGTGAGTATACGAACCAAAACAGAAACATTTTATGTGCCGGTCGGAGCTAATTTGTTCAGACTTGAACAAGGTTTTTGATGCCATCGGGAGTAAGTTTTGTTGGACTGATGGTATGCAATGGGAGGGTTATTGATCTTGCCCTAGTCACCGACCCGACCACCCAGCTTCTCATCGTGCGTTTGCACCTTCTCACTCATACTGGACACATTCATCATTGTTCTAACTCAATGCAGAATGGAATCCTGAACATCTTCAACTTTTTCGTTGCGATCGTTGCCGGTCTCCTGTGCGATCGTGTCGGCCGAAGAAGGTTGTTCTTGACGTCTACCATCGGTGCGTCTGTCTCCCAGGGACCCCTCTGTTTTTATGAGGTCATGTATTGATTGGTGGTGCCTGTCATTTGGTTTGGTGGTATAGGTATGGTGCTATTCTGGACGTTGCAGACGATCTGCTTTGCTCTCAATTCCCAACATGGCGATAAGCGGGCCGCACATGCTTTTATTGCATTCATTTGTGGGTGTGATTTGTCTTTAGATCGTTTTTCATCGACTTAACGTTTGAATTGTCAAGTTTTGTATTATGGATTTTGTAAGTGTCTACATTTTCTCCTGGGAGGACGGGATCGCTGACGGCTCGAACACACACAGATGATGTATGTCCGCGCGCATAGCTATCTGGACTTCCTCGTATATCTCATCCTTCCCCTAGATCGCCTTTACCCCGCTCATCGTCTCGTAAGTAACACAGCCTCCAGCATTCTCCATCATGCGACCGCATGGCCACTATGTGCTGCCTGGTTGATGTTGATATACTGATGGTGCATTTATAGATACACTGTCGAAATTTTGCCCTTCGCACTGCGTGCCAAAGGCTTTACGTTGTTCAACTTTTCGATCTCGCTTTCTTTAATTTTCAACCAGTAAGCTTCTAAATCAATTTTTGTTGGGGGCAGTGTTATTGATGGGTGTGTGATGCAGGTATGTGAACCCGATTGCTTTCAAGAGGTGAGTTCTTGTCAATATGATATCAAAAAAGTGGGGGATCATGAATCGTGTCTTCGGCAGACTCGGATGGAAGTACTACGTGGGTGCAATTTATCTTCTACTCGATCGGACTCCGCCTAAACCGGAGGTCCACGTTCTAGCTCTTCTACGTATTCTGGCTAGTCTTTGAGACCATCTTCTGTTACTATTTCATCCTTGAGACCAAGAACGTACGTCCGTTCCTCGGCCGTATTTATCACCACTCAACTGAATACTGATAATGTGATAAACATCTGGATCAATAGCGCTCCCTCGAAGAAACTGCCGCGTGAGTGTTGCGTTCCCTCTTTAACCCCGCCGTAAGGATGCGGCTATGTTTGGATCTTACTAACTCGTCATCTTATAAATCCCCGCGCTTGTGACACAGACTGTTCGACGGCGATGATACCGTGG